AAGCAGCAGACAGAGGTCTTAGCACATTGAAGAGTTGTCTGCTTTGAGAATAGCACTTAAAAAGGCAACAGGGATAAATGCAGTGCCAACACAGAATAGACTGTTTCCACTCACAGAAGCAAGGTACCCCATGGGGTAGGAGAAGATGTACCAGGTACTGCCTGAAGGTCTTCTGACTTCCTGCTGGTCAGACAGGCTATTAGACCTTGCACGTAGGAAGTATGATGTAGTTCTCACCCTGAAAGTACTACACTTAAATTAGTGTGCCTTCTGCAAGGATGCACGAATAACGTCTTGCTCGCTCGCTGCTGCCCAGACATGCTGCTCCCAGAAGGGAAATGTGCTTATGCCTCCAGCTTTCCCTATGGCCATTTCTGCAGGCTTACATGAAGCTTCTCTTGCAGTTCTGCAGAGTCTCTTCTTCCTCAGCTCAGGCCAGTTTGGATGAGCACTGTGATGAAGTGGATATTACAGCAGTGCCACAGGCCCCAGATGGAGAGGGATTTGTCTGTCCTCAGCTGCCTGCTGTGAGGTCCTTTCCCTGCATTGCACATCCCCATGCTCTGAGGCTTTTTTGACAGCAGCTAGGTTTTATTTCTGTGCAACACAATGAGATTGGATTCTCACAGGAGCTGTTAAGAGCTTGTGTTAAAACATGCTAAACATGAGAAAATCCCTAAAACCTTAAATCTGTCTGTAAATAAACTCCTTATTTTCCTGCTCAATGGTTGCTATAAGATTTTGACCTTAGAATAGCCATTGCTTGCAATAGAGACATTGCAAGAGTCATGATAACCGTTTTTGGTACATAACCTGCGCTCAGACAAGGAAGGATGGAAATGGATTTGCTATGGATCTGTCTGTAAGGGGGGGTTGTTGTTGTTTAAAGATAATAATATTAGGAATAATATTAGGAATGCAAAATATCCTACAAAAGCTGGTGATATTTAAATATGATTTAAATTCATTTAGCATTTAAACAGAAAAGAAGAAAATGGCATTAAATTCAGATGAGGCTGAGACTATGCATTCTGGAGTCAAAAATATTAAATACATCTACAGAATGGAATAGAAGGTCTGGATGGTAATGGATTGTGAAAAGAGTTCAGAGTTTTAATAGATCATTCCTTCAGATCATCAGCACGGTAAAGTGGTAGTTAATAAATTATTAGACGTGTACGTTTACTCGTATATTTTAACCAGCTGTAATGAACAGGTCCTGTCAGCTCACCTAGATTCTTGCAATAGCCACTAAATTGCTTGAGTGAGATTTAGTAACTCTTGGCAATATTGACGTCCGGAGCTGCAGGTAATAAATAAAGTGACATCAGGACTGGCTTTAGCAGAACATTGTGTAAGACTTTAGTCAGACTTGCAGCTGAGATGCTGTTTGGCACCAGTGACCTCTTCCCTGTGATTAGTTTCTGGTTGATGTGACCAGCCCGTGCACTGACACCTGTAATGGGACTCCTGAAGAACCTTTTGTCCCAGTTTGGGGTTGCCTAGGGAAATCTGTTCCCTACTCAGTTTTATATACAGGCAGTTACCTGTTCCTCCCCGCAGGTATGTGGTATTCTTTGGGCTGCACACAAAGTAGAGGAGGAGGATAGTAGAGTCTGAGCTTTGGGAGGAGGACTATCATAGTGTTGGAATGGGAATTAAGAACAGAAAGAAGCTTGGGTTTTATCTTAAATTATACTGGAAAATGTTTATAGCATAAAAAGCCTGCCTCTTGAAAGGATGCCGAATTATACAGGCTGTTAAGGGCATGCCAGGCACCTTTCTTGTTTTTCCTAGATGTCCTCTGAACTTGGAACTACTTTAAACCTATATTATTTCTCTTTCTCCCACTCACTTTCCCAGCATGTGGTGTACTTTATAATTTGTGAAGATACTCACTAATTTTTTATTCTTTCTCTTTTTTTTCAGGTTTCTGACAGATGTGACTATGTCTTTGTCAACGGGAAGGAAATGAAAGGCAAAGTGAATGTCATAGTTAATTTTACTTACCAGCATCTGAGCGCCCCTTTAGAAATGACAGTCTGGGTTCCTCGTCTCCCGCTGCAGATAGAGGTCTCTGACACAGAACTAAATCAGATCAAGGGATGGAGAGTCCCCATCATCTCTAATAAGAGGTAGGTTTCATTAGAGGATGTTCATTCTGGGCTCTGCACTTGCCAAAGTCCTGTCAGGGCCAGTGGATCTCAACATGCTTATTTGGCCATAATGCAATTCCAGTGTGAATTTGAAGGTCAAGCAGACATTTATTCAGTAGGCTCCTGCAGTGGACTTATGAGGGAAATGAAGACTGCAGGTTGCATGATCCTACATTGGAAGTCAGTTTCCTTATGTAGTGCTAGTGACTGGGATGGGAAGGGTCAAGTTAGGTAGGGTCGGCCATTAGGCAGCAGGAAGCAACAAGGACCAGCTCTGGCAAGGCTGGTTGGTCTGCAGCCTGATTCACAGGTAATGCCAGTTAATTTATTCATTGTCAGTGGTCACAGTTAGTACATACTTGTTTCATATCACTGTAGGATCCAGTGGCACTGATCAGTGTCCTGGAGTCAGGACACTGGTAGCTAGAGCTTTAAAGATTCTGTCCATGCCGACAGGTCAGTGGTATGTGAATGACAAGGCAGAGGATGGATGTAGGCAGATCTAGATTGCTTGTGTCTGTTGTCAGTGTTATTAAAAACAAATTGATAAAGTAGGTACTTGCTATTCCCACCTACCTATGAAGACATCATTTATTACCAGGTTTCTGTTAATATCACAGCAAAGACATGGGGATTTTGATGGAGACATGATTTCAACCTGAATGCCGTACAGAAAGAGGAAATTTCCATGGCAACACAAAGATGTTTATGAGAAGATCCAGAAAGAAAAGAAGTGGGAAGGTCCTGAAAGTAAGGACTTAACATGAAAAATAATGAGAGATATTTGAGACAGCAGTAACGTACTGAAGGTAGCAGGCCAGTTGGTGATTTCAGCAGCTGTTTTGGAGATCTAGGCAGCCTGGAGGTCTCAGCTGTGAAAAGGGAAACAGGATTAAAGTGGGGGAACCTGGCTGACTTCAGAAATGTGCTGAAGGAAGCAGCTTCAGCAGAAAAACCAAAGAGGGCAAAGGCCCCTTGTTGAAGCAACTCCCAGCACCAGTTTAAATTACTTTTTCATTTGTGGTGTCCTACTAGACCAGCCAGGGACAGCGATGATGAAGAAGAGGATGAACGTAAGGGAAGAGGCTGTGCCCTTCAGTACCAACATGCAATGGTGCGAGTCCTCACACAGTTTGTAGCTGAAGCTTCAGACCCCGGTGGCCAGCTGAACTATTTACTGGGTTCTGACTGGCAGATTGACATTACCGACCTGGTGAGTGACTTCATGCAGGTGGAGGAGCCCAGAATCGCTAAGCTGCAGGACGGGCAGGTTTTGATTGGGCAAGAGCTTGGAATGACAACAATTCAGGTAGGAAAACTTAATTACTTATCCCTTTTCCTCCATTAACCCACCACCTTGGGAGCTGAGGTGTACAGCAGCTTCTTGTATTAGCAACAGAATGGAGCAGAATCGCAGCAAGGACTGGAACACACGGAAGAGATGGTTTTGTCTTATCTTGTGCCCCAAAGTAATGTAGATCTAGTCCAACCTGTGTACTTGGAGGCTGTTTCTGGTTAATTCTGTCTAAGAGTGTTTTTGAACCTGGAGCCAGTATATGGGCTATCACAAGGCAAGCAGCTGGTGAAACAGATCAGTCTTCTCAAAGTCTACATTGACAGAGCAAAGGGTAAAATAAAAGCTAACTAGTGCTGGTTGAGGATCTGAGACTGGAATATAAGTCCCTTCGGATCAAATCCCTGCACACGTGGCAAGCTCAAGGCTTGTGTTACAGAATACAAATGTTGGGGCATATTTCAGAATATGCACAAAGCAATAATAATAATTAGCATTTCTAGGAAGATGTTCAGAAGTGACAGTTACGTTTTCCAGGAGTGCAGATTTAGCTTCATCAGTTTCAGCCAATATGGCTAAGACTATGGCCTATAAATACCACTGTATATGTGGCTGTGCCTTAGTGTCCCCACTCTGAAGTAACTCACCCAAACCTATGCATCACGTCATTGGCAGCTTTTCACATGCAGTTCTTCTTGCTGTGCAGAGAAATAGTAGCCTAGAAAATGGGGTCCCAGAAGAGAAGGAAAAAAGAGATTAATTCAGTGATGTTACACAGTAGAAAACATGTTAACAAGCACTGGAACAGGGAAAAAAAACTAGCTCTCCAAACATGCTTATCATCTCCAACTGTCAAACCAGAAAACAACCACCACACCTGTCAATAACGGAGGTTGTCAGGGCTGGAGAAATGGGATTTGAGTTTTTTGACTTTCTGCAAAACCTGTAAAGATTTTCTGAATGACTTTCTAAAGCTTTGGGACTTCCAGTGCTCCAACAGATGCACATTAAACTGTGGAAAAAAAAGTCTGAGGGAAAAAAACTGAGAGCAAGTTACAGTTAAATAGTGCTTCCTGTAAACTGCTTCAGATACGCTCGGTACCCTGTATGGATCATTAAATTCAACTTGCTTCCTAATGAGCATCTTGGATGTCAGGTATCAGTGCACTGGCCTCCATGCACAATTTTTTTTAACCAAAACAGCTTTCTCTGTCAATTTTGATTACAGCACCATGAGTGGTTATTGTAGCAATAGATTAACCTTTCTTTCTGTAGGATAGAAATAAATGTCATTTATTCAATGGGGTTTATATGAATCTGTAGATTGCATTATATATATGCTACCTAAACCTACAATCACTTATAAAATAATTGCATTTCACATAAAGATTACATTTACAAATAGCTAATAGATCTGAAGATGTGGTTAGCATATTGCAGAAGTGAATGGAATAGCTGATTACAGTTACGCTGGTAAAAGCTGTTATAAGCACCCTATTACTGCAGAAGAGTTCTAAAATGTGACTAGCCATTTTTTAATCATATTTTAATAGTGTCTGTCTGCTAAGAGTAATTCTGCCCATTAGCATAAATACCACTTATGCGTATTACAGTAGCTCTGTGTAGCTGGTTTGCTTGGTACTGTGCAGAGTGGCTGTTGCTAACTTTGATTCTTCTTTTCAGATACTGTCCCCCCTTTCAGATGCTATCTTGGCTGAGAAGACAGTGACAGTTCTGGATGAGAAGGTGACAATAACTGACCTGGGAGTGCAGCTGGTGACTGGATTGTCGCTTTCTCTGCAGCTCAGTCCAGGAAGCAATAAGGCCATCTTTGCTACTGCAGTAGCACAAGAGCTGCTCCAGTCTCCAAAGCAGGTACTATTGCCCACACGTATGGTGTTCTGCAAGCTCTGATTCACCATATCTGGCATTGCAAGCTGATGGAATCAAGCAGATTTTTATTAATACTGTGCTAATAAAACACTTTCGTTATGGGCACTTTCTGTTTAAGGCCACCAGGTGCCCTAACAGAAAAACATCTCAGAAAAATGGCACTATGTCTAAACAAGGCCAGTCAACAAACAGGCATTCCCTATCTGTCATGGCTGCATCCCATAAATAACACATGAAACTCAATGATGTGTCATAATTAAGCAACAGCAGTCTCCTTACACACACACCCCCTTTCTGTCCCATCCAACATCTACTAGATCACACGACATCCTGCCAGCTAGGTTGACAAGTTCAACCTCCCACCACAAGTATCCAGATCAACCCTTTAAGTCCATCTTTAAGTGAGGAAGTGTAATGCCTTGTGGCAAACTCTTTTAGTTACTTATTGTGAGCATTTTAAGAAGTTGGAGAACATCCCTTTCATTCCAACCCATTACTAGAATATCAGTCAGCATCATGACTCATTTCCTGATTTGTAATTTCATAATCCAGTTTTTTTCCTCCTGTTATTCTTAGTCCCTGTATTAGGGAACCAAGAGTCACCAAGGGCTTTTGTACTTCGACATGTCCCCATCAGTCCCTGCATGATATTTGTCCTTGTGCATTGTCTATCTACATTAGAAATTTGAACTTTTTTTTCAACCCAAATCCATCAGTGTGGGATGTGCATCAAGGATGCACTTGGCTCTTAACACTTAAACATGTTCTGAGCTTTAAAGGTAAATGATCATGACATGCACATTTGAAATGTGGCCAACTGTTGAGATGCTTTAATTCATCATAGGGTTTTATCCTTGGGAGGCAGGGTGAGAAATAATGCAGAGCTGCTGTCTTTATAGGGTGATAAAAATCAGGCTCCCATGGTCTTCCAGGGAGTTAAAAAATCAATGCCACACAGCTAGAAATGAGTGAGCTAATCCATTGCTGACATGGGGAGTTAAACAAAATACCTTGAAATCAGCCCAAAAGCTGGGGTTGATGGCATTTAGTCCCAGTAAACTGCCCAGCACTGACATTTCAGTTCCCAGAAATGGAGTCTAGATGAATCCCTTTCTGGATGCAGGGGTACACTCAGAACATTAGATCAGGATTACAGCAGCGAGGAAGATGTGTGCCCTACACCCTTCAGGGACTGACTTTGTTTTGAAAGGCATCTGATTCCTTCATTTCTTAGTAAATGATTTTCCAAGCACAATCCCTATAACCAAAGCAAAGCAAAATTATTAAATGATTATGCAGGTTTAAGCGACACAGTGGGAGGATGAGAGTTGATGACACGAATTCTCTGCGGCCTTCAAGAAACATCCAAAGATTAATAAACACAAAGCTGGGATTTATGACAGTGTCAGCAAAGTCTTAGGGCTCTGTCCTGAAACAGAGACAGAAGCAAATCTCCCACTGAAGCATGGGGAGCTTTGTGGCTGTAAGGATATCAGAATCAGACCAATAGATTATGCACGATACAATCCCAAAAGACTGGAGGCTTATTCTCCATGATCTGAACAGGTGAATGACTATGTGCTAGAAACAATTTAGAAGACAGTACTATATATTTATTCTCTGTATATATGTTGAGTTAGAATATAAATACCATCTGTTAGTAAAACTGCTTATTTAAAGAAAAGAGACTTTTATAATCATGTTTTCCATGAGAATGGTTATTAATCTGTTGGTTGGGTGTTATCTGTCTGTCAGGCTCTCTCAGAGCAGGGTGATTCCAACTCTTGCTAGACATGAGCTCATCTCATTGTAGACACCAAAAATCCACTCATTAAGCCAGGAGTCTTTCTGGATTCTCCACTCTCTAATAAGGTGCAAATATCTCAGTCAAAACACAGCAAGTCAGACCATCAGAAGAAGGAATTAGATTCCAGGAGAGCAGTCTGAATTTTGTCTGTAAATATTGGTGTGTGAATGCCAAGAGTTTTCCAGGTAGCACAACAATTTTTCATGGCCATTTGAGAGTCCTTCCAGGACCTGATTTTCAGAAATGGGTGAGCACTTGTTTTCTGAAATCTAAGAATACTTCAAAAATGTTTCAAGTTAGAAACTAAAAGTCAAGGTTCCCCGGAATGCTGCACCATTACACACATGCAAGATGCAATTAGTACTCAGGTCTGACCCACTTAGATTCAGTAAGCCTCCACACACTCTGAAATACAGAGTCTGCATTTCTGTGGCATGAGATTAAGCCTCATTATTGTATTGCTTTTAATTGCTAACAAGCATGGAAATTACCCTGGCTATTTCCTAAAGATTGGTTTCCTCTGCTTGTGCAGAAGGATTATTTATTTTGAGAGACAAAAATCAAGGACTGCAGGTATGGAACCATGCATGGACCTACTTGCTATATTAGGCATTTTTTAACATGTGTTGTGTGTAATAAGAGGAGACTTTGTATTTTAAGCTGTTTAGAAATAATGTAATTTTTTTTTCATTTGAATATACAGCAGTAAATGATCTCAGTCGCTGGTAATGCTTTCTGACATGCAATTTATTATGGTGCTGAAGTAGATTCTGCAGAGCCCAGGGGATACAGCTCCTTTAAGCACCTTTGGGGAAACAAATCTTGTTATCAATGAGTGTTTTAAACTAGCATTTCTCTTCACATCTTGGCAAGATATTAATTTTACTGCTCTCCCTTTTTATTTTTTTTCTGGTTATAAGTGGTATATGGATCTTGTGAGGAGGAGGGAATAGACCAGGACAGAACATATTTCCCTTGATGTTTATTCTGGATGTGCATGTATTTGTTTTATATATTATAGGAAGCAGCCATCAGCTGCTGGATCCAGTTCAGTGATGGATCTGTCATGCCCCTGGATATTTATGACTCCAAAGACTTCTCCTTGTCAGCTACATCTCTGGATGAGAAGGTGGTCTCTGTTCACCATGACCCCAAATTCAAGTGGCCTGTGGTTGCTGCTGAGACAGAAGGACAGGGGACACTGGTGAAGGTAGAGATGGTGATCAGTGAATCATGCCAGAAATCCAAAAGAAAGAGCATCCTAGCTGTTGGAAGTGGTAGCATTAAAGTCAAGTTTGGGCAGAGTGATGGCAACCCTAACATCAGTGACAGTAAACACAGGGGTGCTGGTGTCCACCTAGAAAATCATGCCAGTGACCGGCGTCAAAAAACTACTTCGCAGGAACGAGGTGGGCTAGATGGCCAGTATTACAGCTCCTCAATGGGCCATGAGCAAGGCAAAGGAACCACTACTCAAAGGTCTATTCTAAGTAAAAAAGAAGACAGAGAAAGCCTTCTGGATGACGACAGCCATCTGCAGAACATCCCAATAGACTTCACAAGCTTCCCTGCACAGGTGGATCTGCCAAGAAGCAATGGAGACTTGGAAGAGAATGATCTAGTCCAGACCCCTAGGGGTCTCAGCGACCTGGAGATAGGGATGTATGCTCTTCTGGGAGTCTTTTGCCTGGCAATTCTGGTTTTCCTTATCAATTGTGTCACTTTTGCTTTGAAGTACAGAAACAAACAAGTTCCCTTTGAAGAGCAAGAAGGCATGAGCCACTCTCATGACTGGGTTGGGCTGAGCAACAGGACAGAACTTCTGGAGAACCACATAAATTTCTCATCCCAACAGGATGAACGTATCACAGCCATTGACAGAGGAGTGGACTATGAAGAGAGCAAATATCTCCTCAACACAAATACCACCAAAAATATTAATGGACAATCTTTCAGGTCTACTGAGTCCACATTCACTGAAGGGAAAGAACAGAAAAGTGAACCAACTACTTCTCCTACCTCTAAGAGGAAACGGGTTAAATTCACCACCTTTACCACCATCTCCTCTGATGATGGGTGTCCAACTGTCAACTCAATCTTGATGAGCAGTGAGGATGACATTAAATGGGTCTGCCAGGATATGGACCTGGGGGAGTGCAAAGAACTTAAAAACTATATGGAGAGATTACATGAAAATGTGTAATGAGACACAAAAGACCTTTTTTTGTTTGGTTTGTTCGTTTGTTTGTTTTTCACTCACCTTCTGCCTTTAATTTTGGGTAGTGGGGCAAAATGTTGTATTGATAACACGAATCAGCTGGTGGATAATAACTCAATGGAGCCCCAAGAAGCCACCCAAAAGCGACTGGGAGAGCAGAGATCTTGGACAGCTCTTAAAATTCAAATCTTCTCTGTGCTCAGAGATGGAAGTGAGAGATGCGGGGAGGGGTTTGATGCGTAGTAACATGAAAAAACAAAACCTTAGCAAAATAATACGGTCTCATTCTCTGAGCTTTCCCAGGAAATCAATAAATATAACAAACTCCAGTTCGCACAGGTCTGCTGTTCAATATTGCAAGCTTTGGTTAAAAGCAGAAAATTGGTCTTAGAATAAATAGATCCACAAAGAGAGTGTGTTAGTCAAGCCACATGCGGAGAATGTCCATCCATGAACATGAATTTACAGCTGACAAAAAAACCCAACAGTGTGAGCAAAGCAGCTCCCAAAGCTGAAAAGTCAGGAGTTTCCAAAGAAAGCTGGAGGGGAAAAAGGAGTAACTGGGCTGTTTACAAACCAGCATGTTTGCCTCCCAAGCACTGAGAATGGATACACATATACAGTTAAAACTGAAACTCTCTTTTTAAGTAGATGCCAAGGTAATAAACTTTGCCAGCCAATTTTCAGTATTTCATAATTTGTAAAATAGAAGATGTTATCTATACTCAGAATATCACTCATATAAAGGAAGGTCTGTTTTGGAAAGTTTGAGAGAACAAGCTATTTTTAGAAGCCCACTTTATTTGATTGTCCTGTTTCAAATTTGTATTCCCAGCCATTTCCCTGGAGCGCTCCCCATCTGTTATCCTGAGGGCACTTACTAGCATGAGTCGAAGCACGTGGTTTCTTCCTTCCCTTCATGCACACTCGCTTCTCCACGGTGTGCTCTCGCCAAGCACAGACACTCTTGGTACCACGCTGGTACTTGCTTTATGTGCTGTCATTTACCAAAGTTGGCCACTATCTTGGGTAAGTGTAACTTGTGCTGAACTCGGACACCAACAGCAACTGCCTTGTTGTCCGTCCCCTTCCCTGGGAGAGGTCGGGTTGTTCTGTTCCCTCTGTTCATGCTTCTTTAGACCCCTGCTCAGCACCTTTAGAAGACACTCAAAGGTCACGGAGAAGTGGTGCACATTCAACATTGAAGCCTGAACAGCTAAACTTGGTAGATAACATTTGCTTCTCCCAGAGGTGATGATTATCTTTTGGTTTCCTCTGATAAGGATGTACATATGGTGGGATTTCAGTGATTACTCTTTGAATCCGATGTGCCCTCCAGCCCTAAAACCATGACATTTTTGTGAGGTCCAAAAGCAGTCTCCAGTGACCAATGGCAAAGTGCCAAAGCACTAACTAAAGTGAAGTTTTCCTTTATTTTCCAGAGTGAGCCCTTGCCCTCCTTTTATTATTAAGTCTCCTTCTGTCATTGAATCTAGGTTTCTCAGTTTAATACACACCCACCCTCCCACAAACACTTAGATTGAATCCCTCTATATTTAGAATGTACTGTAGATTGTAAGAATGTAATATATATATTTATAAACATGCCAACTGTGAATAAAATTTGCATTTTAGTGGCTTCATTTTTTTTTCCCTATTCTGAACGTCTCTTGCTTTCACTGTCAGAACGTTTACCCTAAAAGAGACTGGCAGCAGTATTGGAGACTTGTCCTTTGATGAATCGGTGAATTAAGGCTCATGGCACAATCTAGTCACAATGTTTTACATTGTGCAGTGTTGGGGGGAGAAGGTACAACTTCAACAACTTGTTGTGCTACAAATGTATTTGCACCGAGTCACCCTTCCAAGTTTTGAAACTATTTGCTAATAAATCCACGTGCATATTTGTAGCCTGAAAGCCTGATATGTGAGTTTCTGATTTTGGTGCTATTGGGAAGATCCACATTTGGCTAAATGCCTTTGGTGACAATTTTAGAAGAGTAAGTTGGTGTAAATAGGGCAAACGTGCCCAAAACTTTGGTGATCAATACTTGCACATCAGATGGTCTTTGCTTTTTTTCAGCACCTCTCACCAAGGCCTGGATTACTGTCTTATGCAAGCTCAAGGACAAAGCGTGGCAGTGAGGACAGCACAGTGCAGGGCCCAGACTAGCTCTGGATGAGCTCTCATGCGTATCTCAGGTGAGGGAAGCAGCCTTAGTGCTGTAGCAAAGCACTGCAGCCTCCCAGCAGGTTCGGCAGTGTTCCAGCCCACTTGCCTCCAATTCTGGAGCTATTTTGGGTGCTTTTTACACATCACTACATTGTGTCCACAGACACTTCCCCTTAGCAATGTGGAGGTCAGGGTAAAAGTGGCCAAATCTCAGCTGGCAGTCTGATGCGTGCGTGCGTGCAAGGTTGTCTTGCAGAAGCATCACTGCATGGCCAGTCTTTCTCCTTCGGAAAGAGCAGGTACAAGGCACTCTGGGAGCAGGCTGTCAGAATTGCTTTACCAATGAGCTGCTATGGTAAATCCAGATTTCTGTGTTAGCTGCCTCTGGGGAACATGAGGAAATAACAGCAAGTTCATCTGGTAGCACAAACCACCAAAATGTTCTCCTAGGACAAAACAGCCGCCAGCTACAATGCTAAGGATACTGACATTCAGATTTATGCCTTTTTGCTTGCTCAGAGGTCCCTGCTGTCTCTAGCAGCTGTAGCTTGCTATTATCCATAGGGCAATGCTATAAATAATACATAGTATTTAGAGTTGCTCTTTGTCCATAGATCTTGAAGTGCTCTGAGCAGGGCAGATTCCTTATTGGCACAGAGAACACAAAGGTTAAGTGATTTGCCCAAAGTAACATACGCAATCTCTGACAAAACCAGGAAGAGGCATCGCTCCCTCCACACCCTTTAATGTATCAGTCACTGAGCAGGATCCTGAACTATACTCAAGGAGAAGTCAGAGTGGATTGCAGCCATCTGTAAGCAAGCAAACACTCTCAATCAACCTGCTAATAGCAGAATAAATCAACTATTGATAGAGATTTTTGTATGAGTGTATCTACCTATCATCTGTTGATGGGGGGGTGTTTGCATATTTTCACTTTTCTCACAGCACAGGGTCCATACTTCTAAGTGAGAGCTTCTGGGCCATCTTAAGAAGGAAGGCTTGTGTTTCAGGCAAGAATCCCATTGGCAAATGAATGGGGCTAACTTCTGTAACAGTTTGCAGCTGTGGCTCCCATGGGCAATCTCTTGAGCCTCATAAAGAGCCCTGCTGATAGCAAACAGTGTTCTGTAAGTGTTATTAATTATTTTTCTTTTTTTGCAGTTGCCTTCTTATTTTGATGTTTGAGTCTCTTTCCATGCGAGTAGCTAGACTGGTACAGGCATGTTAGCAACAGCAAGTGTATCTGATGCACTTTGGCTTTTTTGTTATAGAGACTTTATGTGTGAATACAATCCGGAGTAGGAACTCAGTTGTCCTATAAATCAGGTAAGCTGGTTCTTTCCTGTCTTCCTTCATGTTAAAAGCTTCCCCTTCAGTCTTAAATATACAGTGGTTTAGACCGAGCTGCATTAATACACCAGTTAATTCAAAGTCTGAGCAATGCAGCTAAATAATTGTTTTGGAACAAGAGTTCTGTGGAGGTAAGTGACTTGAAAAAACAGAATAGATATTAAATCGATGTGCAGCCTGCACTCATTAGCTCTAGAAACTACTTTCACACATTGTTTCCATAATGAATGAGATGTAAATGAAATGAGTACATGGGAGACACTTTGGTTTGGTTCTGTATATTCAGCTTCTCCAAGACTGTCTGCTGTCATTCCCTGTGGTCTGTGGGGCTGCCTCATTGTGGAATATCCTTAGTGAGAGCTAAAGGACTCGTGTACTATAACTTAGAGGAGTCTTTTATGTGTCATTTAGGAGAGTGTCGGTTGGACTCATGGATGTATTGATCAGGCAAAGTCCTGTAAGCATCACTGAGGAATTAACTGGGGCAAGGAGCTATTGCTGTCAAATGATGCGTTTAGAAAATGCCTCAAGCATTAAAAAAAACCTTCTGAGATGAATTTATTTAGTCCTTGAAAGCACAGGAGCTTTGTCATGTATTTCTCTATGCTTATTGTAGTATCATATCCTGTCCATGCACAGTGTTAAGAGTACTGCAGTGATGCTACTACCTATAGTACAGTACATACCTATAGTACAGCTACTATATAAAATCAGTTCTATGATACTACAGTCCCACACTATCAGAAATACACAAGATAATGTACCTGTTTGAGGTAGGAGAGGCCTGTGTCCTGCAGGAGAGTTAAAAGGTGCCAACCTGAGCTCCCCACACAGGGGTAGCAGGACTAACTATTCTTCACTGCCATCTCTGGCCCCAGAATGAGCTGCCTTTTGGGGACAGGTAGAAGAGAGCTCTAAAACAAGTAAGGATATCACTTACAAAGTGCTGAGGAGATAGGTTTTCTGTTCTGTTTCCAGTTCACTTCTTCCTGGTAGAAAACTCTCAGGGCAGTCTGCTTGGGCGCTTGGGAACAGGAACATGCTTAAGCACCTTCCTGAATGTGTGTTTGGTCTCCAACAGCCATCATCTTCCCCAGGCATAGATAATACCTCTTTCCTGTGAAATTAGTGAGTATGCTGTTTGGCTTCTTCGTGAAAGCTTTAACAGACGGAGCTCAATAGTGGCAGCAATAAGGGCCTGAGAAGAGCAGAATGCCTGGTACATCATGCCCATAATCAGGAGAGTTGGGAGGGCCAAGGTTACATGAGTCAAGCAAGTATGCCTGAAACTGGATCATTTTCTACCTTTTTGCTGATTTGATATGAAGACCTCTGTCAACAAATCCTTCATTATGCAGGCTTCCTGCTCCAGCTCTGTGAGGAGCAGCAAATTAAGCAGCCCATGTATGTAATATTAACGACTGGAGAAGCAGCACTGCTACTCTGTTTGTATGTACTG